TCGCGCGGTAAGCTAAGCGGACTCCAGCCAATCAGTGAGCGGCAGGCTGGGCTGGCTTAGATTTTTAGTGTAGATAGAATGGAATGAGCAAGCGAGCTAGCAGCTGATGGGCGGGGGAGTGAGGGAGCTGCGAGCGCCAAAATAAAGCAGTTTTTTTTTAAGAACGGCCCAGGACGTGGGAAAAATTATGAAAAGGCGTGGCTGTCCCACCAAATGCGGGACGTCTGGTCACCCTAGTCTAAGGAAGGTGTGCAATGGAAGATTGGTCATTAAAAATTACAGGATAATCTCGCCTCTCCCCTCCCCAGGCTAACCCATAGAAAGAAAGAGGGAGATTCCTTCCCATTTGGGGTTGAGGGGCGGGAAATCTAAAGGAGTTGGTTCATCCAGACGTTCTGAGCAAGAGAGAGACATGTGTTTCAAGGAGGGAAATTGCCTTTTTCTCCCATGAAGTGAAGCTGCGCTTTTCCAGAGAGAGCCAAGCAGAGGATTCCCCCGTGAGGGAGGGGGGGCTGTGGGGAGGATCAAACTGGGCTAGGAGGGATCTCTGCAGACCCTCTTTGCCTCTTCCTGGTTTAGCTGAGGGTTTTAGGAGGTTTCCCTTTGGATTGGGAGGTGTCTATGTGTGATCCTCAAGGCTGTCTGTCACCTCTTCTCATCCAATGCAGTAATTCTTCTTATGGCAGAAATTTTTATCTGTGAAAGGAATGGGGGGGGGGTGTTTTAAAATAAAGGATAAAATGCCGGCTGGCGACACCTCGGAATAGGGCCTTCTCTGTTGCTGCTCCGGCCCTATGGAATGAGCTACCACCAGAGATCCAAACCCTACCCACTCTCTTGGCCTTCTGAAAAGCTATGAAAACCTGGCTATTCTGGCAGGCCTGGGGCTGTTGACCTCGGCTTTGAGGTCCAGCCCCGCTTAGATTGGGTGCATGTTGTGTCTCTTTTAAATTAGTTGTGTTTTATTTGTTTTTTAATCCCTTTTTATTTTTTTTAAAAATTCTTGTTTCTGTAAGCCGCCCGGAGTCCTTCGGGATTAGGCGGCCTATAAATTTAATAAACAGTAAAGAGTAAAATGATACACATATAAATCATAGGCTTTATTTGAATAATCTGTTTAGGCAGAGTCTGCTTCTTGTGCCATGTATTCCCTGGCAAACGGTTGCCAGCCTGCAATTTGACACATTCAGCAAAGTTCAACCTTGTTTTAATAATTGGTTATTAAGCTGACATGACAGTGCTGTATATCACTTGTAAGAATAGTAAATAAACTAGATTCAATGCCTGGAATGATTCAGATTCAGATTCAGATTCAGATTTAATTTATTTGTATGCCGCCCTTCTCCGGGAGGGACTCAGGNCTGCTTCAATTCCAATTTCCAATTTTAATAGATTTATATGCCGCCCAATCCCGAAGGACTCCGGGCGGCTTACATAAAAACAGTTTAAAAGTATTTAAAAAAGTTTAAAAATACAAGACAGTGCTTTACAGTCCTCTCTAAGCAGTTTACAAAGTCAGCATATTGCCCCCAACAATCTGGGTCCTCATTTTACCCACCTTGAAAGAAGGATGGAAGGCTTGAGCCGGTGAGACTCAAATTGCCAAACTGCAGTCAGCTGGCAGTCAGCAGAAGTAGCCTGCAGTACTGCATTCTAACCACTGCGCCATTATGGCTCCAGTAATCTCCAAAATGCCATTAATAATAAGTTCTCTTGATATTCCTGGATTTTCTTTAATTGAGATTATTTTCTGAATGGAAAGGAGATAAAGAAAGGAAAATAATTTATCCCATTTCCTTTTATTTATCCCCATTTTTTTTAAATACGTTGCTTGTCATATTAGCAGACATCCATTCTTTTGATTTGGTCTAGCAGATAGAAGTAGCCATAGCAATGGTCCCTGGCTTCAGCTTGGCAGATGAAACTGGGCAAGTAAAGCCTCATACCTTTTTACATGCATACAATGTGAGCAATGCTAAAACGTGGCAGGGTTTCGATCACCTTGTGGTGCCCACCATTTTGGAGGCAGTGAAAGGAAAACGTTCATCACACGGTATAAAAACTTTTATTGTGAACAGGGAAAAATCAGGGAAATCAGAATTGCAACTTCGACACATTGCACATTGTTCTCACAAGGATTTCACTTAAAGATCCCATTCAAAATTAGGTCATTCTTTGGTTTGACCCAGCAAATACAAATTTGAAATGTCTCTGATCTTTGAGATGTACTTTAACAATATCAGTAGATCCAAACTACAGGTTACTTTTTGGTAATAGAGATGTCCTGCCAGACATAAACTTCTAATCTATTGTATTCTTTTTAATTTTGAAGGCCATGCATGTCAGACTGTGCGTGATGGACTGGGGGGAATGGGGGGGAGAGAGAGAGAAGAAAAGAGCATTGCTGATTTTTATTATGATTATTTTACATCTTGCTAGTGAGATGGTGGTCTTGTCATAGCTGATAAATTATTTATCCCATTTTGATTATTAAATAATACATATTAGTTATATATTTATATTCATCTTATTTTTTTTTATTATTGCTTGCAGGCTTATATATATAATAAATATTGTGTCAGGGTTCCAAGTAACAAGCCCAAAGCAATCAAAACTCTGAGGCCAGAGATTCCTCAAAGCATAATTTTATTTGGGATGTCATTTTGGCACAGCTGGTGAAAATCCGACTCTGATTGATCCAGGATTTTCCCCACTCAAATAAAAACCCAAAGTTCTTGTCCCCAAGTCACATGTCCAATCCGTGGTCCAATCAGGTCACAGTCCCAAGGCCTCATGGCTTTGGTCCACGCCCTTCCAACACCTGGTAGAGCATCCTTGGCTCCCATGGGAAAGAATCCTATTTTGACTACACATCCCCAAGCTATCTCTATCTCCCTACTCATGGTCCCACAGATCCACCCAGCCTTGCTGTGGCAGCCCTGAAGATGCTCCCCAAATGGCTTCAGGGCTGACATATTGGCAAAGGCCTCCAAATTCTTCTCCTGCGCAAACTGCATGAATGAATAGAACGTAAGCAAGTTGTATCCTTCTGACACATCTATTCATTGCATTCAGGATGAGCAGAAAACATTTCCAGTAGATTTAACTATGTAATTACTTCCCCCCCCCCTAAATTTGTATGGTATCTTTTGCTAGAGTGTAGTAATTTGTGATTTGAAAAGTGCAAGTCACAGATGGATGTCAGATTAAAAATATTTAACCAGCTTTTCATCTTAAATAAAGCATGTCTTACCATTTCATAAAGTGCTTGTTTTTTTGTGCAATACTGTTAGGCAACTGCCTTTAAGAAACATAACAAAGGCATACAAATGCAAAAATAAACTTCTGTTCTGTACTTCAGTGCATCGTCCCTCCACTCCTCAACCCTTCTTCAATAGCAGCCTGTCATTCATCCTCTGTCAACCTCTGGCTGGTTACTCTGTACATACAGTATAATTTTATTTAGATCAGGGCAAAGAAGCTGTAGAATTAAGGGTTCCACCACAAAACCGCGGACGACAAAATCGCGGTCGACGAAAGCGCGCATTTGACGTCATCACAGCGCGATGAAAACATCGCGCTGTGATNTCCATGAGCTGGAGGCAAGATGAGGCAAGAACTTCATTAGTGAGGTTATACACTGTCTCTGAAGCACAAAGTGGTGGTAGAGTGCTATTTTTAAAGTGGCATCTCCAAATTTAAGATTAACACAGCATTGCCAGCTTATGATCATAAAGCACTGGTGCTGACATTATGCAATTAGTGGAGGAAGGGTATTATTTTCCACCACTACCAGGGGTATATCATAATCCCTATAGTTTGATTTGATGACAGTTAGCTTCATTATTTCTAACATTTCTATCAAAAAATCTATGTGAATCCAATGTTTCTTTTTTGATTTCTTGTTATAAATATTAAATGTGTATTTATTTCAACTGTACTTTACCAAGGGATATTTATTAGCTATTATCTTCATATATGGAATTGCTATTAGCTTCATTTTTTTTCCCCACCAGGGAAGCATTTTGGCAAATGCCCCATGTAAAGTATATTGTTGGCTTGATTTATGTGAGATAATGTGTCCTATGTAATTCTTACAGCTCTATCTCCCTTTTGTCAGGTGAATATTGACTATTTCACCAAGTCAGTGGTCATGAAGAACCTGGTGGAACCATCTGTAAGCACTTTTGACCTGGCCCAGAAGAGAATCTTCATGCTGATGGAGAAGGATTCCCTGCCCAGATTTGTGCGATCCGATTTATATGAAGAGTTAGTAAAGTAGCAATGTGGCAAGCTGTCCAAGGCACTGGTACACCAGCACAGGGTCATTGCTTCCTCCCCTCACTAGTAATCAACATGTGTTATTTATATGGATAGTTGCTTTGCTTTGTATTTATTCCAGGCTTTGAAAACTCAAAGTCTGTGTTGTTAAACATAGCAACCATGCTATACTGTTTTGGTCTTTATTTAACCTCCTTACCCTCCTTTTTATCTCTGCTACTCAACGTTGCTGGCATAAAATTGGCTTAGATTATACCAACCAAAAATATGACACCAATTATTTATCTGCAAAAAACCAAATTGTATGACCTTCTGTCTGCTTTGATATCAAGTTTGTAGACTCAAGGACAAACCAGATTTTAGAATCTTAGGGATATACCATCTGTCCTAAAAAGAATTCTGACTTGGGTAGACTAAAAGCATTGTTCAGTTAGCAAGTTAGTAATCAGATACACGACATACACATAGTTTTCAATCCAGGTGACAAATATATGTTATTGCCACTGATAAGCAATCACAGGTTAACCAGTAACTTCACAGTGTCAGAGACAAAACAAAGGAGAAAGCAACATGTATTAAAGAAGGAAACATCAAGCCTCCATGTGTAACATCACTCATAGCTATGGAAAAGATAGAAAACAGCACGACTTAGTCAAGGGAATACAAAACAAAAATACAGCCATAAAAATAATGTTGTTTGCTTGTTATATCCTCTCAGTGAACTGTGTTTCATATTACTATCAGAAATAATTCTCTCACAAGATTTTAACTCAACAATTTAACAGGTAAGCATCTCATTTGACTGCATCCATTTCTGATAACAGAAATATCAGCATTTGCTACATAAATTAAGGAAATATTTAACAACATATCCCTCAAATGAAACCGAGTTACCTTAATATGAGAATCCTTGGATTATATTTGCAGTTTCTGGCAAGAAAGTGATGATTTGGGGATTATGAAAAAAAAAACACCTAAAGTTAAGGATATGCGAAAGAGCAATTATATTTTACTGGAATTAAATAATCAACTGATCAGAATTAAGCGGTTGATCAAAATCCTGGGCTGATTTGTTACTAAAAGAGCAGCTTGATAAAAAATCAGAAATTGATAGGATACCCTTACAACTAGCAGACAGTAGACATCCTACAATAATGAAACAGTTACAATATTCATTTTTAAATAAAAAGTCTCTTCACAGAAGCTGAAGAATGTTGATTTGGACAATTTGTCACCCATCAAACTAAATGCATTCCACTAAAATTTGTCCACTACTTCATTAAATCTTCTATTTTTGTAAATGTAATCAGTCAATAAAACCAGATTCCTATGAAATAAACACAGTTTAGGGGATTTCAGGTTGTGAAAGTTCTATCGATTATTAAATAGAGAATATTCATCTTGGAATAGCAGTGATGGATTCAGAATCCATTCTGCAATGCTAAGGATGTGAGATAAATTCAAACCCTGGGCTAAATGGCTATTACTAAAATATTTAGGGAAGGGTTAAGACTGAGAATAAATCAGCGTAGCTGCCAAAACAGTATGACTTGTTTAACAACCCAGACCTTCACCTCTCTTATCTATTTCTTTTCAGTATTAAATTTATAAGTGTTATATTTTTATAACGGCCCTGCACAAATTCCAGTGCCTATGCACAGCTTTAAATAACCTCCCTGAATTACGATAAAAATATTTAAGCCGAACCTGTCTATAGCACACTTCCCAAAGTATTATTTCACCACACACTTTAACCACAATATTTAAATCTTCTTGTAATATATGTACTAGTAAGATCAAGGTATTTAGCCTGCAGTGACATGAATAGAAAAGGCATCCAGATAGAGTTGAAAAAATGCATTTAAAAAAAAATTAGACCAATTGTACTAGTTTAAAAAACCAGTTTACAGTCAAAGCCTCTTACTTTGAAAAATATCAGTCAACCATTTAATACAGGTGAGAGGGTGACTAAATCTTTCAATGCTTCTTTGCCCATCACCATTGGCTGTGGTGGCTGATAGCCAGGGTGATTTCATGTCATGAGAGGATGTGCACAGAAGATAGTTTCAAGCTGTCGTTATCTAACACCATCCAACTAGAGGTTGATTTAAATTCCTCTCTAATGTAATATTATTTTCTGATTTTTTCTCTCTCAGACATGCAAATGGTTGTAATATTTTATTTTTATCAAAAGGGGAAGTAAGCCATAATTGCTACCATGCCCCTTTGCCCTTGGTGGTGAGGGTGCTTTATCACGCGCCTCCTTTTTTTCTCCGCCTGCCCGAATGAATAAAGAAGGCAGGCGGAAAAAGAAAGACTCCCATTCAAACNCAATCCGGGTCCTCATTTTACCCACCTCGGAAGGATGGAAGGCTGAGTCAACCCTGAGCCGGTGAGATTTGAACAGCTGAACTGCAGAACTGCAGTCAGCTGAAGTAGCCTGCAGTGCTGCATTTAACCACTGCGCCACCTCGGCTCTAGAGACATATTTGGCTATCAATAGGTAGTGCTGCAAAATGCCATGGTTCATGGTGGGGGGGGGGGCAGAGAGAAGGAGGGAGGGAGAGAGAGAGAGGGAGACAGACTAGAAGAGTCAAATTAGGCATTTTTCATTTTTTTTGAAAAGGCAAGCCCAAAAGTTTTGCCATCAGTGTCATAAAGGGAGAGATTCTGAATCTGGAATGCACTGGCCTAGATTTAGCCATTCCTGATATTAGGAGCCAAATCTGGGTAGAGACAGTTGGAGTTAACTTTTTCCTGATTGAAGTTGTTCTAGGAGTGATTGTTTTGACACATATGCACATACATGCATTAACTAAGACATCTCATGGAAGAACTGACCACATATCTCCTGTCCTGTATCTAGTTCTGATGGGTCATCCATCAAATAAAAAAACGGAGTGGTTTCCCAACATATCTTGCAAACAGTTATCTCCAGGCATCTATTACAGGTTATTTAGGAAATAACTTTTGAGGGGGGAAAAGGAAGAAAAATCCTGCTTAATGGACAACAGGGCCTTAAGAATGCCGCATTTGTGTGTGCCTGGAAATAATAATCTTTACCTTACAAACGACAGTTATTTCTGGAGGGAAAATTGAATTTTCAATCAAATTTTAGAGCAAAGCTCTTCAAAATATATTCTGACAGACTAAATCTCACGAAATGCTTGTTTCCTGAAAATGTATTTTATTTTTTAAGATAATGATCTAGAATGTATTTGAATTTTGGGTAACAATCAATGTGGTTAAAGTGATTTTCTCTTGAAAATTTATTGTATTCTAAGAGGCCTCCCTATGTATATTCCACTACGTTGTTTTAAGTACTGGTAATTTTATATAACATTGATTAAATTTATTTTTCAAAGATTTTCATTATATGAAATGCAAATATTTGTTGAGAAAGTTGTTTGCAGAGATTAGTTTCAACAGGTGGACTTAATATTGCAAGGAATATGTGGGAAATATTGGGTTACCAATATAATTTCAACCCACTGACCCATAAAATCATATTTTAGAGGAAAAAATATTTTAAAGTGGATATTCTGTCTGAGGGCATAATATTATTACTTTGGATCAGCTGTGTTATCAGGGAGCCATTTTAAAAATATTTGTCGCAGAATTAAACTTTGGGTTTGATTTATTTCAGTGTGCTTTCTGTTCGTTTACAAGACTTAAAAAAGATTTTTGTTTGGTTTAATATCTGCTCCAGATGTTGTTTCTATTTTTGGAGTCTAAAAGTGGGTGGAAGTTTTGAAAGACTTGCTGAGGCTCCTAAGTAGTAACCTTAAAAAAAAAAAAGGAAGTCAGTGAAGCTGATATTAGTTATTAACACAACCTGTGGATTAATTGGATTGAATGTCATTTGATAAACTAAGAGATAATTAATTCCCTATGTTCTTAAAATGATATTAATACAACAATCACAGATGGGATGGGTTGCAATTCACACAGTGTGAGACACTAGTCATAAGTTGGAATATTAACTTATGTATCTAAGGTGGCGCAGTGGTTAAATGTAGCACTGCAGGCTACTTCAGCTGACTGCAGTTCAGCAGTTCAGCAGTTTGGCTGTTCAAATCTCACCGGCTCAGAGTTGACTCAGCCTTCCATCCTTCCGAGGTGGGTAAAATGAGGACCCGGATTGTTGTTTGGGGCAATATGCTGACTCTGTAAACTACTTAGAGAGGGCTGAAAGCCCTATGAAGCGGTATATAAGTCTAACTGCTATTGCTATTGCTATCTTGTTTAATTATTGTTACTACTAGAAGAGAATATTTGCAATTTAGGGTTGAACTGTGTGGTCCTTGGTGCTCTCTAAGCTTGGTTATTTTCTTGCAGATGTTTCATTACCCAATTAGGTAATATCATCAGTACTAGAAGAGAGTGGGAGAGTTGCTCTCTTTTTATATACTAGTGGCTTGCCTTGTCAATGTTGGTGGGAATGTTGTCCTTTGACTTCACATCAACAGGATTGTCACTATGATTCTGACTGATTGCTGTGCACTAAACGTCCCCAGGAATAGGAGCCTATCAGGCTATAGGAATTGCGGGGGGGGGGGCTAGGGAGGGGCCGTTAAACTGTAGATGTTTAACTGTGGCATTTTAATCAGTGGTGGGTTGCTCCCAGTTTGGCCCGGTTCAGTCGAACTGGTAATGGTTTTTTTGTTTGGGTCGCAGAATCAGCAGTGACCCAGGCTTGCCACGCCCCTGAAACGGTTCCCTCGCTGTCACTGACGTTGCCACTGTGTTGTTTTGTAGTGACAGCGCATGCGCAGTTCACTGTAAATTGTTCTGCACAATTTACAGACCCGGGTATCTGCGAGACCGTCTTCTGCCACATACCTCCCTCAGACCAATAAGATCGCACAGGATGGGCCTTCTCCGGGTGCCGTCAGCGGGANACACACACACACACACAGAACCACCTGCCTCATTTTCCTGTTTCCCCCCCTCATCTCTCCCCAAATCCAAATAGCTGCACCTCTGAGAACAAAAGTTGCACAGCGCCTCCAGGAATTGAAGGCTGTGCTAGCTGTGATTATTATATACTATAGGTCGCTCCCAGGTTTTCACCTCAGCAACCCCTGATATTATCCAAGACACCCTAAACTCTTATTATTTCTTAATGTCCAGTGTCCTGATTACAGGTTACCTAATTATAATAGTGTTGTTTGCAGCTGGAGCTTCATGGGCTAGATAATCTGAAACTGTAGTGCAGGTACAGTTTCCAAAAACAGAACAGGAATTGAGTGTGTGTGTGTGTGTGTGTGTGTGTGTGTATTAATATGCACAAATTGTGCATGCCCCTGGTGACTTACTATGCTTTTATTGAAAGATCATAAATCATGACTGGAATCCAGAAATCAAAAGCTTAATGCATTTAAACCATTGTCTGTATCAGCCTATACATAGATGTTAGGAGATGATGATTGAAATGATGCTACTTTGCAGACAAATTGCATGTTGAGAGGAAAAATTGAAAACAAACCAAAAAGAAAAAGGGACTTAACTTAAGTCTCTTTTACTTTTTAGGGTCCCCCCACAATCTTTTCAATCTTTTTTTCAATCAAGAAAAGCCTTGTTGATTTGAAAGTATCTTTTCAATAAATTAGGACAAGTTATGAGAACAAACATTCATTCCATAAATTTCAATTTCCATCCATTACAGGAACAATGAGAAACATTCCAAAGCCTATGAAACACCTGTTGTTAATGCCTTTTCAAAGATTTCTGTTTATGAAATCCAGTTCTTTCCATGACTTTATAGCAGCAATGATGTCTGCATTATGTGGCCCAGGCTTGCAGCCTCCCGTTGCTGTGTTAACACACAAAGACATAAAGTGGTTGGCTTGGCTTTGGCTTAGCATGCTGAGTGAATCCAGTGACTGAGGTTTATAACAGTACACCACATTTACAGCTCACTCTGTTGTATGACTATGACACTATGGCAAAGGTGCCAAAATTGTGGACTGGCACTAGTCCTAACATACACTCCAGAGTTGATGGGGTGGTTGGAAAAAATGTCCATTTGGGTTCAGTTCCAAGTGGGGGAAAAGATGCTGGAAACATGGAGGCTGATTGGAAAGATGGTTTATTGATGGATAGGACCACATGAGTTTGAAGTCTTGGTGCAGCTGAACACATGGAATAGAGAGTGGGGGTTATTTATACCCTCTCTTGGCTCGAACTTCAGCTTCCTGTTCCTGTGGCAAGGGCATGTATTCTATTGGCTGTCAGACTCCCATGTGGAGTCATGTTCGTCTGAATCAAGTTTGGTGGAACTTTGCTGGATGATATAATGAAGGGGCTTTGTTGTGCCACGTGGTGAGCTCTGCTGATAGATAATCCAATTATATTCTGGAGGGTCATGTCTTAATCCCATCACCATGGAGTTCGGCTCTTTTGTTTTGTAGATAGGTTGGCCCAGTCTTTCTTAATGGGCACCAAATATCTGCTGTTGGCAGGGAGCTGCAGGGAGCTGAGTTTCTGTCTTCCTTAAGATTTCTATTTCTCTTTTAGGGGAATTATTCTGCCTTTTTAATATTTCCTAAAATATTTCATTCTTCTAAGAGGGGTAGGTGCTAACTTTCTTCAGGGTCTTGTTTTGAAATGTTGGGAGTTGGGTGGACTTTGATCCTGCCAGTTTTAGAAGAGTGGCTTGATATGAAATCTGGTGC